ATACAACATTATTCCTCGAATTTCAGCCGTTTTTCATAGTCTGCTTGTGTGGATGGATACTGATGTTCATTCTCTTAGTTATGGAAATTTGGATCTTGAGTCTGAAAGTGGGACACAAAGAGTGTAGAATTTTCACTCTGTAGTCAAGGACAGTGGAGAGTTTTTTTTACTCTCTGATCCATCCTAGCTGCTTGGATGAACTGACTCGGCTTTTCCAAGACGAGGAAGTCACGCTTTTGAATACACTGAACATCAATGTGACAATTGGTCTTCCAGTCTATTTTTACAAACCGAAGCCATTTCGTAGAGGAAAGGTGCTCAGGAGAGGCATTATTTCTGTCATTGCTCTTGTTATACATTGTCCTTGTTTGCTAATAAGAATACTTTTAGCACTTCAGATGTGTTTTGGAGCATACAAGCACTTGTCAAACAACTGCCCAGGAGGGATGTGAATCTTGGTGTCAGTTCTTCATGACACAGAGAGAGAGAGAAAAAAGAGGGGGGTTTCTTGGTACAGCACGATCTCTCTATGCAAGATGTTGGTGTGTGTGTGTGGGGGGGGGGAGTTGTATTCTCATAGAATTTCTTATATCTTTGAACATTTTTTAGGCAGGAAATGAAAGCATGTACAGAACTCTAACCTTTCTAGTGCAAGATGGCCTCTTATAGGTGAATGACACCAGCTAGATATTTTGTAGATATTTCATACAACATGGAGCATTAACCTATGCAAATTCGTTTGTTCCATGGAAAAAGAGAAAAGGTTTCTGTCATTTTAAATGTGATTGACATGTCGTTGAAATAGTGAGAGGCATCACCAATACCACCAGATTCCATCAGACATCATCCCAAAATGTCATTTGATGGTCGGCACAATAGGCAAATGTTTTTGCACAGAAAGAAAGCTCTGTCTTATGCAAGGTAAGCTACTGTCTTGTGAATGTTAGAAAACTGTTCTTTGAAAGCAACATGAACTTGTTTTGGTAGGAAAAGAAAATGACACCATCTCACCCTTTTCGTTTTGCAAAAGAAAAGGACATTGTCTCACCGTATGCCAGTGCTACAAAAAATGTTTAAGTATTCCTTCTGTCCTTACTGACATTGATCCAGATCATATGATTATTCTGTTTTTGGACTTTGACTGGTATCCTGTTCAAGTTACTATGTGCAAAAAGAAAATCATGGAAGCAGCTGCTGCAGTATGGTGGTGTTGCATGACCAAGAAATGTGACCATTTCTTGGTCATGCAAGGGTGGCTGCTTTGGTGTTGCATGACCAAGAAATGTGACCATACTTTCCCATATTGCGGTACTTTAAATGAGGTCCTGGTAGGGTGGCTGCTCCTTCTTGGCCATAAATGAGGACAGGTCTTGTCAAAAAGGAAAAGATGGGGAATAAGGAATGGCAAAAATGAATACATTCTTCACTAAAAAGGAGGCTGTGTAGAGTTGGGTTTTGTTTTTGTTTTGCATTAAACCTGCATAAGTTAATTTAAACTAATATATAGAAATATCATCCTAATTAAACATTGTTACTGTAATTTAAGTGGAAATACACTACTGCTCACCATATTGTACTACTCAGTGATTAGGTAACCACCTTGAGGCACAGCACTGGGAGAGAGAGAATATGAATCAAATAAATAAAGAAATAAGGCATCCTATTTAATAATTCTCTGAAATGCCCTGTGCCTTATAGTGTCTGCAACTTATTGAAAATGTTCATATATAAAGAAAGAAAGTAATTAAAGTTCACTGTAGCTTTGTTGAAATATCTGGTTTAGCAACAATCAATTATTTCAGGGGAATGGTCTGAACAGGGCTTTCAGAATGTCCTCTGCTAACACTGATGTCACATTTGACATTCATAGAGAATTGACATGTCACACCATATTGTTCCTGCTGCTCATCAGCTGTTACAGTATATTGGTTCATGTGGGTTTGAGCCTTTTCTTACAAAATGCTTTCCCCTAGGAGTGTTTTTACTTAAAAAATGAGAGAGGGCTGATTAGATGGGTTTACAAACGAAAGCCTCTACTTCCCCTGTTCAACCAGGCAAACTCAGTGGGGGTGGGGGTGAGGGTGAGGTGGCCACTTACACATCATCCAGAGGAGGATAGCTTTTCAAATACAGGATCATCCTTCCTAAAGGAGATTGTACAGCCACACTCATTATTGGCCTTGATCGTATGTGTGTGTTTGTCTGTGTTTATCTTTGTAATTGTCTGTATTACTTCACTCAAACATATTTCTGCAACATTTTTTTGGGTTGATATGCCTGCACGCTCTGTTTGTGTATGATAGAAGCCACATCTCTCTGGTCTTAGAACTTCCTACTCTTAAATGGTTCTTCACCTCCTTGAGCTTGTCTTGAGTGTACAGCAGGTCTCTCAGTTTGAAAAGCACCATTGCTTCGTTGTTATTTGCTTCCTTACACACCATGAAAGTCTTAGGCATATTTTTGAGTCTGAAAACTTTGGAAACTGCTGTTTGTAACTCCTTCCCCTGCCCTCCACAGACTTCTCTTGCAAGTTTCACAAATATTGAAGCTTCTAGCGGATCCCAAACTCTTTGGTATCTCTGTTACCAGGAGAGAGATATCTGTTGAAACTGAGTAGTATTTGCAGCCCTAAAATACACAGAGATTATTTGGAAGAAAGTGTGGAGGAGTGATCATGGGATTGCACAAAACAGCCTGAGCTGCATTTTGTTTCTTAACTCGTTTTTCAATTGGTTTCTGGAACAAGTTGAATGAGTGTGGGTGTTAAGGTAGTGGAGAAAGATGAATGAGAAATAAAAAGTGGTAGGGGTGGAAAAGAGAGATAGCACCGAGAGGATGTAACACAAAGAGTGATGGACTAGGACTTGGGAGACCTGGGTTCGAATCTCTGCTTGGCCATGGAAACTCATTGGGGGTGGCACTGGTCAAATCACTCCTTACATATCTCATATACCTTGGAAGTTTTTCAGGCTGCCATAAGTTGGATGCAACTTGATGGCACAGAATAACAACATATGAATGTGAAGTGTGAATATGAAGAGTAAAAGTAATATATGGGGAAAGTAAACCAGCTAGTAATTTGAGAAGCAGACAATAAAAAGAAATCGATAAGCATGGGAGGGGGGGAAGCAAATATTCCCTTTTTCATTTCAAGGAGTCCTGAAATCCAGCAAACCTGTTCTGGCCAATAAAGAAAAAGTTTGCATTTCCTTTCCATGCTTATCTCCAAGCCACTGATGAATTCTCAGTAGATTTACTGTCATTTCAGAAGTCTCTCTCTCTCTGTCATCCATAAAATATTAGCTCCTGTAGGAATATTTTGTGACTTCAAACTTAAATCTGTTCTGCTTTTATTAATGTCAAGCATTCAGTATAAAGTCTAATTTAAACACTACACCTTTCAGTCAGCCAAAAAGTAACACCCAAAGGTTCCAAGGAAGTCACTCTGTTTCTCATGGTGTCTGTCTGTATTTCTACTTTGAAAAGGGTCTGGATAGGAAGTGATGTTGGAGACCAGTGTTTGGAATGATTATTTTTCAAAACCAGCATTTCAGTACCGGTATTACTTTCTTAGAAAGTAATATATTACCCCCTTGTGAGGGTTCAAAGGAGGCCTCCTTTTGGTCAGACACAAAAACAGGACACTCAGTTTTTGGAAATTCACAACTGGGGTTTATAGGAACATAAATGAATCTGTAACTTTATAGTCCTTATTAACTCTCTCTCTTGTCACCAATGGGTCGAACGAGGGCATCCAAATATCTTGTAGAAATGGGTTGTAACCTGACTCATACCAAGGTCCTTTCACTAAAGGATTAGTGTCCTCAAAGTCAGGAGAGTCCATTCCATTGTCTATCAAGGGAAGGGGCTCCTCATCTCTCCCTTCCAGGTCGAAGAGGTACCCAGGGTCCGGTGAATACCTCCTCCGGCGAGCCTCCTCCAGACGCCATGCCCTTCTTTCTCGTTCTTCTCTCTCTACTGCCTCCTTCTCCTCTCTCAACCTCCTACACCACTCTCTGCCTTCTGATTCTCCCCAATACGAAGGATGAGGAGGCAAGCTTCTCCTCCGCCTGTAGTCAGCCTCTTTCCAAGGCACATGGACCTTCTTACATTTCCCTGTCCAGGGATCTTCCACCCATATCAACTCCCAACCCCCTGGTATGTCATCTCTCCTCTCTTTTATATCCCCCTTTCCCACCTCTGGACGTGGCGGGGCTGTGGGCTAAACCGCAGAAGCGTGTGCTGCAGGGTCAGAAGACCAAGCAGTCGTTAGATCGAATCCACGCAGCAGAGTGAGCGCCCGTCGCTTGTCACAGCTCCCGCCAACCTAGCGGTTCGAAAGCATGCAAATGCAAGTGGATAAATAGGGACCACCTTGGTGGGAAGGTAACAGCGTTCCGTGTCTAAGTCGCACTGGCCATGTGACCACGGAAGATTGTATTTGGACAAAACGCTGGCTCTATGGCTTGGAAATGGGGATGAGCACCGCCCCCTAGAGTCGAACACGACTAGACAAGAAATTGTCAAGAGGAACCTTTACCTTACCTTCCCACCTCTACCAACGGCCAACCTCTCTCCTCTGTTCCCACCTTCTTGGTCCCTGTTTGAGTGGATATAGATATCTTTCTCATCACCTGTTCCAGATCTTGGGTGTCTACTCCCTGCTGGACTGTCACGACACACAGGGCTAGTGGATCTGTTTGCACCTCTTGTTCTCTCTTAGTTCTTGTCAAGGAGGCATAGTGGGAAATTCAGTTCCCAACCTCTGGCTCCACAGCCATATATCTAAATCACTAAGCAGCGAAACTGTGGTCTGAAATTAAATAAGTGGTGATCTCAACTATATGTTCAGATTTAAACCAAATCTTGTAGAATGTGGTTTGTTCCAATCCCTTTTAGTTGACTAAATGACTATTCATTCATAATTAGTCAGTCTTTTAAATGAAGTGCTTAAGAGTAAGGTTTTCAGTTCAGTTTCTGTTTTTAATTTTTCTCTCCTTAAGAAAAAGATGAGACTAGCCCACCAAAAGACAAAGGTACATGGAGAAAAAACATTCCTCATATCATGAGAAAAACGTTTGAGAAGAAGGCATCTGCAGTTGGCACCTTTGGGGTCCGGCTGGATGACTGTCCCCCAGCTCAGAGCAATAAGGTATTAGTCAAGAATCTTCCATGTATTTGGCTGTGAAAATTCTTTTTTAAGGGTCGTGAGTAAGAAACTCTCTCTCTCTCTCTCTCTTTTTTGCATTTTTCAGTATATTCCACTCATAGTTGATATATGCTGCAAACTGGTTGAAGAAAGAGGTCTTGAATATACAGGCATTTATAGGGTTCCAGGGAATAATGCAGCTATCTCAAGCATGCAAGAGGAACTGAACAAAGGGATGACAGACATTGATATTCACGATGATGTAAGTGATGGCCATTGTATTTTTAACTCAAAAAAAAATGGGGGGGGAGAAAAAGAAAGAAAAAGAAAAAAGGGTATTGCTGGTTATGGACTAACAAAAATTTTCCTTTCCTCAATGCTTAGAAATGGCGAGACTTGAATGTTATAAGTAGTTTACTGAAATCCTTCTTCAGAAAACTTCCGGAACCTCTCTTTACTAATGGTGAGATGTTGCTTTAAATTGAAAAAAAAAA